TTGATGAGTACCATCCGGCCAGCATGAGTGCTCGTAGATTTCTGCGTTTCTCGTGCCAGACTTACCATACCGGTGTGTTCGTGGCTTATGTCAAATAGACTGATGTGGAAACTGCTCCCTGTCCCTCTCAAATTCAGCAGGTTGTTGACCGCTTCTCAGATCTTATGGAGGAGCCTACTAGACTTGTCCATAGGCAGACCAAACATAAGATTGAGAACCTGCCTGGTTCGGTCCCTCCCAAGGGTCGAGTCTACAAGATGTCACCTGCTGAACTTGATGAGCTTAGAAAACAGTTAGAGATGCTGACCAGCAAAGGCTGGATCCGGCCCAGCACATCTGAGTTTGGGGCACCAGTCCTCTTTGTTGCAAAAGGGAATGCTGAGTTCGGGGTGTTTGTGGACTATAGAGGTCTCAACAAAATCACGAGGAAGTCTACAGAGCCCCTTCCTCACATTGATGATATGTTGGACATGGTGCAGGGGTGTACCATCTTTAGCAAGATCGATCTCAAATCTGGTTATCACCAGATTGAGATGGTTGAAGACGATGTCCACAAGACAGCCTTCAAGACGAAGTATGGCACTTACGAGTACCTGGTCATGCCATTTGGTCTTTGCAATGCCCCAGGCACATTCCAGACAGAGATGCATCGCATACTCATGCCTTACCTGGACCAATTCGTAGTTGTCTACCCGGATGATATCCTGGTATTCAGTCGATCTGCCCAGGAGCACGGGCAACATTTGGCTCTGGTCCTCCTGGCCTTACGTGATAACCAGTACAAGGTCAACATGGAGAAATCCTCTTTTGGGGTTCCCTCTGTGATCTATCTGGGGCACGCCATTTCTGGAGAGGGGTTGGCTCTTGAAGCAACGAAAGTTGTTGCAGTTCAGGACTGACCGCGACCTGCTAACATTCTTGGGGCTTGCTTCTTATTATAGGAAGTTCATTCATAACTTCTCTTCTATCGCAGCTCCCTTGACTGATCTCACAAAGAAAGACACTTCCTTTCTTTGGACCTCAGAGTGTCAGGAGGCTTTCACACGTCTCAAGGAGACCTTGAGTCGTGCCTCTGTTTTGAAGTTACCGGACCCTACATTACCTTTTGAGCTTACTACTGATGTTAGTCAGTATGGTGTAGGGGTGGTACTTCAACAGGATGATGGGAATGGTCTGCAGCCTATTGAATACGTGAGCAAGAAGATCAAAACAAAGAAGCTGCAAGACTCTACCTATGAGAAAGAACTCTATGTTCTTGTGCCAGCGCTCAAGCATTGGAAGCACTTCCTCCTGGGCAGGCACTTCAAGATCTTCACAGATCACTCCACCCTGCAGTGGATAAAGTCCCAGGGAGAACTGAATGACAAGCTTGCTCGCTATATTTAGTTCATTGACATGTGACTTTGAACTGAAACACAAGAAGGGTTGCTACAATCGAGTAGCACACGCCCTTTCTTGTAGGTCTGACGCTCTCTTCTTGATCTCCTTCACTCACTCATTTGGAGATAAGACTCGTCAGACCATTGCCCGGTTGGTGCCCCGGGATGCGATTTTTGGGCCTATCGTGAGGAATCTCCGGGATGATCCTGCATCTGAACCAGGATATAGTCGGTTTCAGACCTGCTGTATACTTGCAGCAGAGGTGAGGAACGCCTGTGCATTCCCCAAGACCACAAGCTGAGAACACTCCTGATGTCAGAGTGTCATGACGCTCGTGGTCACTTTGAAGCCCTCAAATCGTATGCAGCGCTGTCGCAGCGCTTCTTCTGGAAGGAGATAAGGAGTGACATGTTGCGCTATGTGGAAACTTGTGAGTTATGCCAAAGGAATAAGGTGGTACGCGGACCTCCCTTTGGCCTACTCAAACCACTACCTATCCCTGATGCTCCTGCACAGTCAATGTCTATTGATTTTACTGACTTGGGTATGACTACTCCTCGTGGGATGTATCAGGTCATGGTATGTGTAGATCGGTTCTCCAAATACGCCGAGTTCATCCCCTTGCCAGCTGAAGCTCGCGTCCCAGCCGTTCAGGCGGCATTTGCTGACAGGTGGGTCACACATCATGGACCACCCACCTCTATAGTCAGTGATCGAGATCCTCGTTTTTGCAGCAATGAATGGCAATCCTACTGCAGGGATTACCTTCATTCCAGACTGGATATGACATTTAGACGTCATCCTGAAGCCAATGGGCAGGCTAAAGTGCTGAACCAGATTTTGTTCCAGCTGCTGTGTCCTGTGATCAGTCCAGACCAACAGGACTGGGATCTCCATTTGAGTCGTGCACAACTTGTGTATAACACGTCTGTACACTCCTCCACATGCTTTACACCCCTATCGGTTGCACTGGGGTCGTGAGCCACGACCGCCTCTCGATGACATCATCGATAAGGCTACCTCTACATTGACACCTGGAACTGCGGAGTTCACCAGGCGTTACCGTGTGGACATAGAGCGCGCCCGTGCCAACCTGCTGAAAGCTCAAAAGGCTATGATTCAGCAGGCTAACAGACACAGATGTCCTTCTACTATTAGCACAGGTGACTGGGTGTGGGTACCCAGTTCTGAGATGTCACGAGCGGAGGACATTTCGCCTAAGCTGTTGCCACGATATCCATGATAGGTCTTAGATACAGTGGGAGCTGATCCATTTGGACCATCCTATACAGTGGATGTCCCTTTGCATCTACAAACCTACCCTGTCTTTCATGCATCTAAGTTGTTGCCCTTCACATCAGCTGATGCATTTCCAGATTCGGTCCCCCTATTCCTGGCAAGGGATATGAGGTGGAATCTGTGGAGGATGAGGCAGGTACAGGTCCAGATAAGGAGTACCTTGTGAAGTTCTTATACCAGCTGCATACTGAAGATCGCTGGTTTACTCGCAAGGAACTTTTGAAGACCGCAAAGTCTGTTGTCCTCAAATATGAGGCAGCACAGAAGGGAGAATCCCTTCGACGCTCTGCACGCCTACGCCCCTAGCTCGGAGGTCCTCGCTCCGGGGGAGGGTAGGTCTGCAATGACTTGCTGGTTTCTGGTCGTCTGTAACCTCTCTCTGTCGAGGCTGTACCATAGGTAGGATAGATTTGTAATTTTGTTTGGCTGAGGGCTAACTGAGTGACCTGCCTGTAAGGAAATTTGTGAGGGACATATCTGTAGATACGGGAAAATACAGGCCCGTACTAACTGAATTTCCTACTGGTACCCTAACTGCGAATAGCAGGCCCGGGCGACCCCTAGGACAGACAGGCCCTAAAGGCCTATACTGTTAGACGGTCCTATAGCCTATAGCCGGGTAAGGTAGAGGCTGAGAGGCCGAAACTGAATCGGTACCGGTCGGTCAGTCAGTCCGGTCTAGGTCGAGTCTAGGCTAGTCTAGTCTATAGATAGGATGGGTACGTCGGTTCAGGGCTTTCGGCAGCTGGTACCGAGTACATTGCTGCTGCATTACGCGTGAACCGGAAGTGGTGACGGCTCAGCCTTGTGGGAGACAGCCAGACCTTCGGAGCGCCGGCCATAGCTGGGACCTGCGCTGTACTATGTCAGCACGTGGGGCTGAACAGAGGTCTGGGCTATTGAGGTCTGCTGGAGGCGAGAGAAGTTGGTGCCCTGCTGGACCCTCCTCCGGAGTGGGGTTCCAGGGTAGTGGCGCTGCAGCCATAGCTGCAGCTTCGTTCTCAGAGGTCATCTTGTCAGGAGTGGTGGCGCTGCTGCAGACTTCCACCCGGGAAGTCTTTCGACACTTCGTCATCATCAGATACTGTGGCGCTGGTCTTCTTCTCCATCCTCTGAGTGGCGTTTGGTCTCAGAGACCTGTTTCAGGGTGGCGCTTGCCTGTGGAAGCTGTATTTAGTTGGCGCTTGATGTTTCAGGGACTCAGGGGTAGTGATAGTGGTTCATCAGGGTTGGGGAGTGAAGTGCTGCTCATCTCTGAGCAGCGCATCATGGTTCTGAAGTTATTCTGACAATTCGAGACTCTGAGTATAATAAACAGTGTTGATACTGGGTTTGGACTATCATCGTTTCATTGTTTCCTGGATGTGATCTACTCGGCTTTTCTTTATGACTGGTTGTGAGGATTGAGTGCAGTGAATTGCACTTTCTGTGTACCCTGTCATATCGCATGGTCAAGTCTTCCGCTGTGTTTATCTCTCCCTGTGTGGTGTGATACTCCTATCATCTCCCCTTCCTTCTGTGTATGTATGGGCATAGCTGGAAGTCTATGTGAGTGAGTGTTGGTCTTCAGACAACAGACGGCCAGAATCATAACAAGCATTAGAGAACTAGAGTACTTTCTGAATTTGGCAGGGTAACTATGTAAGTTTCTGTCGAGTGCTCGGGTCCCATGAGGTCCTGTTAAAAGCTAACACTGGGTAATGCTCCCAGAACCCGGTTGAATTGTGAGGTCCCCGGCCTCAAGTTTGAATTGGTAATTGATCAACGTTTAAAAAAAAAAAAAAAAAAAAAAAAAAAAAATTTAAAAAAAAAAAAAAAAAAAAAAGAACTTTCCAAGATTTGTCGACATGTTTTTTGTTTTTTTTCTTAATACGCGCATTTTATTTATCTCAGTTGTTTTTTCATCAAATCGCAATTACGGATAACAGGAATCGAACCCATATCCCCCTGCTTGGAAGGCAGGCAATTTACCTTTATTGAAGTTTATTCTATATGCCCTATTTATTTTTATTTTTTATTTTTTTTGTATATCCCCTATTTACATACGGAACTTTGAAACTTCAATAATATTGGGAAAGAATTCGGGAAAATGTGCCTTACAAACGTCCAAAAACTTCAATCCCTAAACCTTAAACAAAAAATGCAATGCTGTACCAACTGATCTAGGGTCGTTGGTATGCGGTAGGAGTTGTAGTCGAGAGCGGAAAAAAAAAAAAAGAAAAAAAAAAAAAGAAAAAAAAAAAAGAGAGAGAGAGAGAGAGAGGGGGGATCAGAGCTAGCTAGCATGGGGTTGATTGCTCTTGTTGTTGGCATTTTGACAGGTGCTGCTGCTGGACAACAATTCGCTCACATCGGTACCATCAGAGGTGCTTCAGGGATGTGCTGAGTTGTGCACGCTGCTACTTCATGGGAACCCTCTAACAGTTGAAGAACTGCGTCAGGTACACTTTGGCCTCTATTAAGTAAGACTCCAGAAAATCAATGAAGTTGTGTAGGGAGCCTAGACTTCAAAGTTCAGGTCAACATCACATGTCACCACGAGTCACAATTCAGCGCACAAGAGAACTCCTCCTCCTCCTCCTCCTCCTCCTCGTTGTTGTTGTTGCTGTGGTGGTGGTGGTGGTGGTGGTGGTGGATGTGGTTGTTGTTGTTGTTGTTGTTGCTGTGGTGGTGGTGGTGGTTGTTGTTGTTGTTGTTGTTGTTGTTGTTGTTGTTGTTGTCGTCGTCGTCGTCGTCGTCGTTGTCGTTCAAAGAAGAAGTGCTTTGTTGTGGTTGTCGTTGTTGTGGCTGTTGTTGTTGTGGTCAATGTTGCTGTGGATATCCCCAAGATCAATGGCCCAGCTAGTCAGATCAACTGGGACAGGCCGGAGACGCTAGCACGATACCTCACCCACCCCCTCAATTCCACAAAATGTTCAATGTGAAGAAGAAGAAGAAGAAGAAGAAGAAGAAAGCTCGTCACGATTCTGATTCTGATTCTGATCCTGATTGCATTTATGTTCCATGAAAAAAAAGGGGAAAAAAAAAAGAAGGAAAACTCGTCACGATTGTGATTGTGATTGTGATTTCGATTTCGATTATGATTTGACTCTTGGCACAACCGTAACGTTTGTTGATACACTCATTGCAATAGAGACCTGAGTTGGAAATCCAGTTGCGACCCCCCCCCCTCACATGAACAGTCATTAACAGAATGAAGTTCACTAAAATAATTCTGAATTACCTGGGGTGACTTAGTAATCTAATGATGATATCTCAAGGCCGTCGTTACCTTTTCTTTTTCGGGGGGCAAAAAAAAAAAAAAAGAACTTGCAAAATTCAAATTGTTTGTCAAGTAATATTGGGAGTGCGGATGCGCGTGGTCGCTCTAGCGTCCAAAGACTCTAAACTTAAAATTCTAGTGTTACAACCACCCTTCCCTTGTTCATTACTCTTTTGTTTTCCTTTTTTCAGTTATCAAATGTGGTTGCGTTCATTCTGAGCCAGGATCAAACTCTGTTTTTTTTTATTATGGCTTAATTTCTGGAATGTAGGATTTAAATTTTGAACCTACAACGATGAGTTTACCAGCTCCAGTCAATCCAATCTTTTTTTTTTTTTTTTTTTTTAATCCAATCCTAGTTAGTCAGCTAGTTGAATTACCTAATGGAACATAACAAGGTTGTTTTGTTATAATAAGTTTATAACAAAGTTTATATCCCTTCGTCAGGTGGAGGGTTGGCAGGCGTTTGACGAAAGGCGGAAGGCAAAGTACGGAAAGCAACTCCAGTTTGGAGTGATGGGTTCAACAAGTGGTTTTGACGAAGGAGCTGATGCTGAACGATGGAGTCGATTCTAAGGTCAGCTGGGTTCGCCAGAGAGAAGGTAAAAAGCAATTGGAGATCAAGGAGTGTGGCAGTGATGGGGGGTCATCAAGCAAGTCTGTGATGGGTGAGTGAAGGGGTCTAGAACTGAAAGGGTTTTGCAGCTTTTGCTGCCAGGGCCATGCATTCCACGTCCACAGTGCAGCAAGTGTTGCTCATACAACAAGGTGAGAACATGCCTGAAAAGCCTCCGGCGTTTTCCACCTTTTTCAGTAATTAGACCCCTGAAGCTGTTCTGGGGAGAGAGAGAGAGAGAAAGCGAGAGAGACAGAGACAGAAAGAGAGAGAGAGAGAGAGAGAGAGAGAGAGAGAGAGAGAGAGAGAGAGAGAGAGAGAGAGAGAGAGNAGAGAGAGAGAGAGAGAGAGAGAGAGAGAGAGAGAGAGAGAGAGAGAGAGAGAGAGAGAGAGAGGGTGCAAAACTGCTATAAAGCCACTTGTGGTGAAGTTCTAAGCCGTCCTCCCTTTTTCTCTGTGATGGTCGTCGATTGGAGCTATGCTAGTGGCATAGTTTGGGTGCGAGTTGCTGGATTTCTTTTATGCATTGTCTCACGAGTTCTTAATGCATCGTCTCACGGTTTCCTCTCATCGATCGACACACGTCCTGTGACATGGTTGTGTGACATGGTTGTGTGACATGTTGTGTCCAATCGCTTCCCTCTGCGTTGGAAATGTATCACAGTTAGAGAAGTTCCTTCAGCAAAACAGCCTTCCAAGTTGCACATCGGTTACTTTTTTCCTTCTTAGGGTATACTATAGTCACAATAGCACTTTCCTAAATGTACCTGACTGCAATTATGGCCCAACCTGGATGCATCTGACTGCAATCACGTCCAGAGCTGTGTAGAAAAACTCCACATGCGACAATGCCCTTATGCAAGGAAGATGAGTGATAGCGAACTCCAACAATCAAACAGCATCATACATATGAGTCCAGATAGTCTTGACCTCGAACCAAACGCAGAATTGCATCACGAGATACACCAAATAAGAACACACCAAGAGTTCATCATTGACAATGCTGAAGTAGTCCCATCATCATCAGCGAAGAACCAGAGTTGATATCCTATTGGCRCTCGGCGCCCAGACTAMATGTGGCAGATCCTATCTAGCCTATACTACRAAGCAGAATGATGACATCAACRGYGTTCCCKAAGTACGAGCATACAGCGGACAATGCCGCACGCTTCCAGCACCAGGTATGTCTCTCGCAACACTCACAACCCCGATCCACACCACACAGATGCCACTAGCACCCAAGGACCACCCTGCGTCACACCCAGCACACAGCGGAGCAGCTCGGCTATGGCTGCCCGCTACTTCCTGCTCGCCCGTGAGAGCGAGAGTGCCAGCCATCCAGCAAATAGCGCAGCAGTACTCGCGCAGCATGAAGCCAGCACCCGAATGCCAAATGAGGAGGCAGGCCCTTCCCTATATCGAAGTGGCCTGCCTGCGTCCAGTCCAGGAAGCTTCCAGTAGGCCCCGACAGCCTGAGGCCCAGTCACGAGGAAAGTAGGCCTTGGGCCTGAAGTGGTTGCATGTGCCCAACTGCTTTCGGCCTGTGTTTGGCCAGGTACCCACATCCAGCCCAGGGCCTGCTTCACGTACATTCACACAGGCGGCCCAGGGCCTGGGTTCACTCAACCAACTGGCGCTGCACAACTGCCTGAATTTCCCTGAGTTGCGTAGTGGCCAGAAAAGGGGCCCTGAGGGCCTCGTCGAGCCTGCTTTCACTTAGGGCAGCCGACGGGGTGTGATAGTGGGGCCTTATGGGGCTCTAGAGGCAGTGGCCTCGCATTCCGTCCTCCATAGCTTCAACAGTCCTCTGAGAAGCTCAATCTTCGATCATAGGGCGCTTTCCCTTCTGCAGAGATCTCTCGTATTGCGTTACAGCTTGAGGAGCGGTCTGCATGACCTCTTCCCTTGTGAACCAGTGGTCCTCCTTCGCATCAGTGTGATGCCGGAACCGGACACGGTACTGCAGCTTCGGTTTTGGAGGACGTCCCCTGCCTGCTGGTCTTGATACCGGCAGCTCTCTGTGATCCACAATATCATCAATGTCCACCTCTCCGTCCATGGTTGGGGGCAGCATTGAGCGACGAGATGGAAACTGGTCAGTCTCTTTGAAGGTGCCAGCTTGGAGGCGTGAAAGACAGGGTAAGTACGAAGATGACCAGGAATACGGACAACATATGATGGCCCATCCGGATCTGTTCCGGCGATGTCCAAGACTTTCCAAGGTCCAAAGTACTGAGGCATGAGTTTGCGGGATATCCCGTACTCCTGTCCCAGTTCTGAAGACTTAACCCAGACTCTGTCCCCAACCAGAAATGTAGAAGGCCGGYGGTGTCTGTTTTCAGACTCTATCATCGCTGCTTGTGCCTTCTGCATCTGTTCTACCGCCTGCTGCATTTTCTGTTCATATCTGTGAGCAAACTCTAATGTACCCGGTGCAACAGTTGATTCATGCTCAGGTAGGAGAAAATCAAGAGGTAGTCTCGGYTTGAAAGTYAGTTGTAAACTGTTCGGGCTCACCCCAGTGGCKCTGTGTACCGCATTGWTATACAGACTGGCGACGAGAGCAAGCTTCTCATCCCARTCCACCTGGTTGGGCTTGATATAGTGCCTCAACAGGTGTTGTACAGCGCGGTTCAGTTGTTCAGCCTGGCCGTTAGCTTCTGGGTGATTCCCAGAAGTCATTTGCAACTGAGTGCCCTGCTCTGCAGTAGCGGCCTTCCACAACTCGCTTGTAAATCTGACATCCCTGTCACTAACAATGGACTTCGGTAGACCAAAGTCCCTGACCCAGTTCTCTTTAAACATTCTAATCACGTACTTCGTCTTTGCTGTTTCCGGCATGGCTACTAACCTAGCATACTTACTAAATCTATCCACGATGACGAAGATGTGACGCATTCCATTCTTGATGGTGATCAGAGTATCCATGAAATCCATGGACAGACTCTCACCAGGCCGTTCCAGAATTGGAAGGGGCTTCAGAAGCCCAAGAGGAGCCTGAGTACGTGGTTTGTCCCGTTGACAAACTTGACGAGTCTCCACGTACAGCTGTGCATCTCGCATCATCGTGGGCCACCAGAATCGCTGCAGCAAGTTGGCTGCGGTATTCTTATACCCGAAATGACCGGTGGCATCATGACACTCACCTAGAAACAAACTACGCAAAGAYTCACTATTGGGAACACACAATCGTTTATTCCCTGCCTTCTCAAGGAACARCAAGCCATTAACCAACTCAAACTCGGCGGATGTCTTCTTGTCCTTCGCCTCAAGTCTGCGTATGATCTCAGACATAAACTGGTCCTCGCGATAGGCTTCCACCAAAGATTGAGTAACATTGTTCGTAAGACTGAACTCAGTAATCAGCGCACCTGAGAAGTCTGGTCTGCGCGATAGGGCGTCAGCAACCTTGTTATACTCCCCTTTGAGATACTGAGGGTCAAAGTCGTATTGCTCAATGACTTCGATCCAACGCTTGAGAGCGTCAGAGAGTACCGGCTGGGTTCTCATCCATTTCAAGGTCTGATGATCAGTCCTGAGGATGAAGAACCTCCCAAGGAGATAGTGTCTCCAATGAGTAAGAGCCTTGTACACGGCATAGAGTTCCTTCTCATAAGTGGACTTAGCCAACTTCTGAGATGGCATTTTCTTAGACATGTACTCAACTGGCCTCAACTTTGGCCCCTCCTGCTGCGYGAGCAYGGCGCCARTGCCGTATTGGCTGGSATCCGTGGTGACTATGAACGGCTTGTCAGGATCAGGAAGTTTCAAGACTTCATAGTGCGTTAATGCATGCTTCAGATGTCTGAAAGCAGCCTCGCACTTATCTGTCCACTCCCATGGGGTGTCAAGGCGGGTCAGATCAGTCAAAGGAGCGGCCACTATGCTATAGTTCTTCACGAAAGTTCTATAGTAGCCTGTCATTCCTAAGAAAAATCTCATCTCAGTCACAGACTCAGGACGTGGCCAATCACGAATGCTGGCCACCTTCGCGTCATCGGGCTTCAACCCTTCCGCGGAGATCTCATGACGCAAGTACAAGACATGGGTGCGGCCAAATTCGCACTTCTCACCGTTGATCTTGAACTTGTGTTGTCGCAGGAGACTGAGAACTTTGTCCACATGTGCAACGTGCTCCTCGACAGTCTTACTAAAAATAAGTATGTCATCGAGGTACACGATGACAAACTTATCCAAGTAGTTATGGAATATCCGATTCATAGCGTGCTGAAAGGTGCCAGGAGCATTGCACAAGCCAAAAGGCATCACCACAAACTCGTACAGACCGTACCTGGTCTGAAATGCGGTTTTGTGTTGATCCTCKGGCCGGATKGCAATCTGATGGTACYCGGACTTCAGATCTATCTTACTGAAGTACCGACACCCTTGCACTCTATCTAACAGATCGTCGATGCGCGGTAGGGGCTCTCTGTTCTTYACAGTGATGGCATTGAGGCCCCTATAGTCAATGCACATCCTGAGAGTGCCCTCCTTCTTCTTAGGTACGAACAGTACTGGAGATCCGTAAGGAGAGACACTCGGYCGGACCCAACCCTTCTCTACGAGTTCCTTGAGTTGGCGGCGAAGCTCATCAAGCTCGCCTGGAGACATCCGATAGATCCTACCCTTCGGAATACTAGACCCTGGGATAATCTCTATCGCGTGGACGACCTCCCTATCAACAACCCCTGTTGGCTTTTCAAATAGATCAGGGTACTTGGCAACTACTCCCTCTATCTCCGGCGGCATTTTCACCGGCTCGCCTGCAGCAGAGAGATAAACTAAGTACATACCCTCCTCCTGATTTTGCTTATAATAATTGTAGAACGCGGCCGCACACATGCACCCGTAGGACTCAATCAGACTACTAGCTTTGAACTTATGTAATCTGGCGGTCCCTCCACCTGGCAAAGTGTGTTTGACCACTTTTGGGTCCATGCACCCGTAGGATTCAATCAGACTACTAGCTTTGAACTTATGTAATCTGGCGGTCCCTCCACCTAG